TAATAAATAACTAAGTGTTCCAGTCTAAGAAGTAACTTCAGGGTTGTTCTCAGGGTTTGTTTTATATTCTTATTAGAATTCCAAAGTGCCCATTTCCAGGTATGACAAGAGCACACACCTTAACCGTCAACCACAAACACCTGAGGCTCAACTACACCAAGCCTTAAAGGCATATTCCAAGCCCCCCTTTTTGTTTTGGTAACTGCATTTTACTCCGCCACATACTAGGCACTGACTGTTACTATAACATTTGGGGTAAATATTTATGTGCAGATGAGGGAAGGAATTACGGGAAAGAATACTGTGTCTATATGAAACATTTTAGAAAGAATCCAAAACAAATCATTAAATAGTTCCAGAGAAACTAAGAACCTTGAAGTTAACAAGTACCTTGAATCATTTTATTGTACTTTGCATCAAAGGAATCTGTGTGGTCAGGGCACCAAAACCATCTCTAGCCCAGGGGCCAACTTCCTCCTAATGCCGGCCCTGCTTCCATTTTGTTTTATAGTGCTATTCTTTGTACAGATGAACAAATGATTATCATTATTAAACGTAACATATTAGAAATTAATTCATAAATATTTATAACTAATCAGAATTTTGTCTTCCATTCCACAGCCAACATTTACATATTGGTTCATACGGGTAGCAAATGAGCTGAAATATGGGATCCATAATTAATTGTTTTTAGTTTGGATAGTGACCTCACGTTTACTGCTTATATGACTTGGACAGAGGAAAAACTCTGGGATCTGCATGGATCATGTGCTGCTCAGTTTGTACTGATTTGCATCACATCTATTTTAGAACCAGCTGAGATATGATGTCTGAATTGTTTTGTATTTGTTTTTATATTGTATTCAAACCATATGGATCTCATATATTTTTTTCGGAGCGCCCGACCATTTAGAACCCATCCAAACTAAGCCAGATCCTAACAGGGCCTGCATGCACATATTGGCTGAGCCTAAGCTAACAGCCAATTTCTTCTTCTCATGTGTGCAGACTTCTCTTTCATCTGTGCAATATCATTACGCCTCAGGTTATGTCATGTTGCATTCCTCCTACCTCAGGTTTAGGAGACAGGTAGTGAAATTTATTAAGTGTTGGTCGGCTGCCACTGCAAGTGGATATGACCTTAGGATTCTGCAGGCAAGTGCTTGCCTCTTAAAGCTTATCAGCGAGGGCAAGATGAGCAGTTTTATACACCCTGAAGAATCTATAAATGCTTGTGCTTGCATTATGCGCGTGTTATGCGGTGTGACTTTCGGGGCAGCATAAGGGTCAAAATGTTTTTGTGTAAGAAACCAGGGTTACATATCAGATAGTGACCCAGTTTTCTGCTATTGCATTTCTGGTTAGTGATTGCACATGTAGGCACATTGATTGTTAATTGTCTTATGGTCCCCTGATGATAACCCCTGCGTTGGGGGTGGATTTATCAAAATGTTAAGATGTTTGCTCCACATTGGCTGCAGATCTTAGGAGATGAAAAACTGTACTTTAATGGACATATTTATCTAGTAAAGAGCTCTATCACCACCACCACCGCCCCCCTCCTGATTGCAGGGTTTCACTATCAGTGTATGTGTTGTCACCCAGTTTCTGCTCCCACTCTCACTCTCCTGTGTCTTGCGTCTGTGTTTCTCTCTGTGTGCCTATAATGGATCACTGATTGACGCCCCCCTTCTCCTTCTCCCTGACAGTGGAGAGTTGCCCAGGAGACAAGAGTCCTCCGGGGTCAGCGGCATCAAAGAGGGCCCGGACAGCTTACACCAGCGCGCAGCTCGTGGAGCTGGAGAAGGAGTTCCACTTCAACCGGTACCTGTGCAGGCCCAGGAGGGTGGAGATGGCCAACCTGCTTAACCTCACGGAGAGACAGATCAAAATCTGGTTCCAAAACCGACGGATGAAGTACAAAAAGGATCAGAAGGGCGTCGGGATGATGCCGTCTCCGGGCGGACAGTCTCCCCGGAGTCCAGTAGGCCCACCGTCCGGTGGGGGCGGCGGTGGAGGGAGCGGATACCTCAACTCTATGCATTCTCTCGTTAACAGTGTACCGTACGAGTCCCAGTCTGCAACCCCTTACAATAAGAATCACCAAACAGCGTACGGTATGGCTACGTCATATCCCCCTCCTCTGAGCAACTCCCTCAACAGCTGCCCACCCCCCCAGAAGAGGTACCCTGGGACTGACTCGGCCACGCCCGAGTATGACGCGCACCACCCCCTGCACGGCAACGGCAACTATGGCACACACATGCAGGGCAGCCCCGTCTACGTCGGCGGAGGCTACATCGACTCTGTGCCCAGCTCCGGGGCCTCAGTTTTCGGTCTCACCCACCTCCCTCACCCGCCTCCTCCGTCCGCGAGCATGGAGTACAACGGGGCGATTACGATGGGCAACAGCGGCGGTCAGCATCACGGCGTGTGTGATGCGACGCCGACGTACACGGACCTAACGCCGCACTACTCTCAGGGAAGAATCCAGGAAGCGCCCAAACTGACGCATCTGTAGCATGCGGCGCGAGACTGGATCACTCCGCCCCATTGTCTCATCCAAGCTCCAGACATATCCCTCCCGTCCCCCCCGCTTTGTTTCTGCGCCTCCTCATGGCTCCCACCTTCTCCTTCTGCCTTTTATTGTTTGTTTGTTTGTGTTCTCTATAGTTTCATGTGTGAAGTAGCGTAGGACAAATAATCACGACTTGCTTGAATTTTCCTCTATTTGCTTGTCTCATTGTCTCACCAAGACCTTTATGTACCATAGAGTGTCTGTAGAGCCGAACGGAGGGAAGGAAGAAGGGCATAGCATATCCATAGGATTATTTAATCTTTTCCTTTTTTTAAAAACGTCTTTTTAAAATCTCAAACAGGGTATTATGAACACATGTTATTCATTTTCAATGTGAAACTGTCCGTCTTTATTTATCCGCAATTGAAGAATGATGTTTTTTTTTTTTTTTTTTTTGCATTCTGTTGCACTTGTGTACAAAAAGAACCTTAAGAGCCAGGAGCTGGGAATGTGAGGAGATTACATTTAAAACAAAGGGTCATGAACTTGCACAGACTCCCCTTTTGCTTCTGTTTTGTTTCATTGGTCTTTTAAAATGTTATTTATTCAGACTCCAATAGTATTATTTGACGCCCCTCCATCTCTGTCTGCAAGGGGAGAAGGTTGGTGGAGAAACTAGCGCCATGTTCGGCCCATATATGCAGCCATGTCACTTAGATTGCAGGTTTTCCAATTTGTTTCTTTCTTAGTATTATTGTTATTATTATTAATATTATTATTATTATTCGAGGAGGTGTTTCTATTTTGTCAGCGAATGAAAAAGAAACCAATCAGTCATGCAATAAGGGTGGAAAGAAGGACACACGTTTGCAGTTTCTTTATTGAATAAAAGACAAAACACATCATCAATTTTTTTTCTTCCTCTCGATGTCAAACATTCCATGCTGCTCCAGTTCGAAGAAACAAATAAAGGCATTGAAGTGAAAAAAAAACAACAACAAAAAATAAAAAAAATAAAAACAAAAACAGATCCACCCGTTTTAATTTTAAAATTCGCAAGCAGTTTCACATTTACATTACCACATAACGCTGTTTTATATATCTAAAAATAAAAGTGGGTTATCGGCGATGGTATGGAATCATCGGTAAAGCAGCATCAAATTAATGCTCTTTTAAAGCTACACATATTATATTCAAGAAGTAAATTTCATAAATTAAAGTCCTACCAGAAATTTTAAAAATAATTTAGAGTCAAAACTGCTATGCATTAAATCTCATTTAAAAAAACAAAACAAAAAACAAAACAAAACAAGAACAACTCGCAGATTAAAAAAAAAAGAAAAAAGAAAAAAAAACATTTGATCTATTTACTCTCTCCTCCCTGAGCGTGGGCCCCCTTCTCTTTCCCGGCGCGTCTCTCTCATCTGCGTGGGCACATCCATAATAATAAAAATGTCACCCAGGTCTTCGTGAAAGGTTCTGCGGAGACAACAAGCCAAATGAGAAATCGTTTAAAAATAATCCCGCCTATGTGTAAAGCCAGTCAAACGCCGCTCACAGAGGACGCACTCTAAAGTACAATAATCAAGGACCTTATTTGTTCAATCAGACCCTGAAAATGTGCAGATTTTGATGCGTAAAAACCGGCCACACCACGACTGGAGGGAGCACGAGTGCTAGACATAGATGGCTGCAAATATTTTTATCTTCAAAATTAAATGCCAAACTAAAATATTACAAATAATTCTTGTTTTTTTAATTGCTTGTAATAATTCTATTATATATTTTTTAATTACAATACAAAACGCAGGAGCAAATGTGTTGAATGCAGAAGGCCATCGAAATAAATCTGTGTGCCAAGATACTTATCCACAACAAACCTCTGACGGATTTTGTTTATTTCTCACAATATTTGCTCACGTTAATGTATTTTTTCATCTGTCCCTCTCCCACCCCCACAACTCTAATTTTCAACCTAGCATGATTGATATCAGAGGGCACGAACATTACCAGCCCTGACATATGGTTAGCAGGGAAACCTAGAACAATTGAAGCATGGTGTGTCACTGAGGGGGGAAAAAAAGGGCCAATACTATGAGTATTTCTGTATCCAAGACAGAAACACACATGCACACGCGTTACGCAGCAGGACAGCGATTTGACCCACATGTGCCAAACGCAGGTAGCGCACAAATAAATTGTGTCTAAATTCAAAATTGAGCGCACACGGCGTTTTCTCTTTGCATTCGTAGGAAACTGCGCCCTAAATCACTCCTGCTCTAAAGATAAGTGTGTGGGACGCAACGGGCTCCCCTAAATGCCGCCACCCACTCCTGTCCGTGCACACAAAGCCTGCGCGCAATTCCAAAATAGTCATCAGTCTCTTCTCTTAGCAACTCGCTACTGGTCCATTCGCAGACATGCAAGTCTTAGGAAAAGAAAAAAAAAGAAAAGAAAAACGATAACAACAAAGCAACAACAACAACAACAAAAATAGAAATTAAAGATAAAAGCCACGTGGGGAAGCCAGCTTCACCACACACTCACCGATGGCTCTTAGAGAGGAAATGGTCGCATCTTGTGTGACCAGATTCCTTTTTTTCCCCTTGTTCTTTAAAAAAAAAAAAAAATCCCTCCAGCGACAAACAGACTACCAGTGCGAGCAGAAACCGGTTCTAATCTGAGTGACCACTGTTTCTCGGCGCTTCCTGGCTGCATTTGATCCGGGGGAGAGTTAGAAGCCTTAAATGTGTTGTGAGGGCACCGAGCTGTCAGACCTTTTGGCGAGTAAGATTGATCGCGCACAGGCTTCCAGGACTCTTTGTTTGGTATATAAGCAACAAACTGAGAGAGAGGCCTTCCACTTCTTCTCCTTCTCCACTTCCCCTCTTCTCACTCAATAAGCCACATACAGATATATATTTTGTGAACGAAAATACCCCACGTACTGCCGGACGAATAATAATAATAATAAAAAACAGGGAACAACTTCCTGAATGTGGCTTTTACAGATTCTTCTAGAAGAGCCATATGAAACTGAACACGAGCAAGGGAAGAGAGCAGCTCAATAGCATTCCCATCAGCATAATAACGCTGGCAAATAGATTTCGTTGTAAAAAGGTCGATTGTAACAGTGTTTATGCTTGCTCCATGACCATTTCAGGTAGGAAGGATAATAGAAATACATTGAGAAGCTCATTCCCTCCTCCCCCCCACAAGCAAGTGTGGCAATGTCCGTCCAATAAATCTTTGCTTTATGCAGCCTTGTGGCTTTGCGCTCCTGACATGAAAACAAAACTATTTCCAACGCTGCTTTTAAAGGAATGCAGTAATCGTGGCTGCTTTGAGTCATCAAAAGAGATTCTGTTTCATCTCGGATTTATGAGCTCGACGTTTTAGTGGAATGAACAAAAAATGTGCCTTAATGCTACTGTCACATGGCTCCAAATACTACACTCCTATCAACGTCTTTTAAAGGTCTATTTAAGGTTTGTCCATTCTTGTTTTGGTTTAGCCCCTGATATACGCCGAAAACCGAAGTTATTTTTTAAGGTATCGGTTCCGTCCAGATTTTTTTTTTTATAAACAAATATTTTTGAAATTTAGGCTAGGTTAGCCCATTTGATCAACCCCCCTCCCCATCACATTTCAACCTCATTTAATTAAGCATTTCTGTCCATCTTTCACTTTTCAGAACATTGTCTTATTCTTCAGATGATTTCTTTGTCTATTCAAAAAAAAAGGTAATCAAAACCATTTTAACTGTAACAGGCGTCTTTTCACGTCTGACTTTTCAGCTGCATATTTATGCTGTTTAGATGGTAAACCATGGCATCTGTTATGTATTTGTCCACGAGTTTGACCATTTATAACCCAGAACCTTTCACTTCTCGACCACATTTCCACGTTGTTTAGATACAAGGTGACACATTCTTTATTTTAGCCATTTAACCATGTTTCCAATATAGTTTTGATTCTAAGTGTCATTGTGTAGGACTATCTAGAAGTGGAAGGCAGATATGTATTTTATTTTTCTGTGCAATGGTAATGTGCTCGGCGTAAAGGGTTGACTGTGTTAACAGAAGTGTACAACATAGTTTCGTCTTTTTTAAACACCACCGGGTCATTGTCCAAGAAAATAATCCGAAGTTAACAGAGCCCAGCAAAACGTCTTGGAGTGGGCGGTCTTTTCGTATTTCGTCTTGTTTAGACTGGAAGGCAACACGACCTGATGTCTAATAAACGAAGCTTTGCTCCGAAAAACAAAAGAAAAGAAAAAGTTGACTATTTGAACTAAATTTGGGTTATAGGTTTGTCTTTGTATCAAACGACGGTGACAGATTGAGAAAAGTGAACGTCTTGTATCAGTGAGCATTCTTTGCCCCTCACCTGAACCAGTTAAAATTAACCACATTCTCACTTCACTCAATTACAATTCAACGAAACTTTGCTTCGTGGAATAATTGGGACATTTCCTCATTTGCCAAAAAAAAAGAAAGAAAGAAAGAACAAAAAGTTGACAAAGTTTAGATGTTCTCATAATAAATGGCCATATTTGTCATTTTTGTCAAATCATATGGATTTAGATATGGTTAGTTTTACAGCTTTAATTAATGGTTAGCAACGTTCTAATTACAACACTCTTAAGTTTTGAAGTTTATTTTTCACCCCCAGAGCTTAAATATGAAGAGCTACTAGGGTGAAATGTGTGTCTGTGTGTGTGTGCGTGTGTGTGTGTGCGTGTGTGTGTGTGTGTGTGTGTGTGTGTGTGTGTGTGTGTGTGTGTGTGTGCTTTGTGATGTATGCGTGTGTGTGAGTGGTGGGGGCGTTCTCGACTGACATCCTTAAACAATACGAGAAAGAGGAGTGCACGAATCCGCGCACCCTGAGCTGGTCTCCTTCCCTGTAATAGAGAGCGTCAGGCGCTTCTTAAAAAACACATTTTGTGGCTTAGTGGACTGGACTGGAGGAGCGAGGCGAGGACGAGCTGAGCGGACAGAGATGTAAATAAAAACAGTCGTGCATGGCCCAGCTGAGCGAGGACTTTTTTTTTTTTTTTTTTTTTTTTTTCCTTTTGGATCAATCAGGCAGAGAGTGGCTTCTTTTGATTAAGCCCCAAATTGTCATTGGGCAGAGGTAATCATGTGACAGGCAATTCGGTCCAATTTCAACCTTGTCTCCATGAATTCTATAGTTTAATGGTAGCTCGGTCCCCATACGGCCGTAATCACTGAAATAGAAAAAAAAACACATCAGGGGATTTTTCTTTTAAATATATATTTCTTTTTTTTTCCTTCTTCATCGTCCTCACTGAGCCGCAACGTTTATAAAAATACGGCGCTGCAAACTTTCCTCGGCTCTCAGGGAGCGGAGATGAATTACGAATTCGAGCGAGAGAGCGGTTTTATCAATAGTCAGCCGTCGCTTGCTGAGTGCCTGACATCTTTCCCCCCTGTCGCTGATTCATTTCAAAGTTCATCAATCAAGAGCTCGACGCTTTCACGCCCGACACTGATTCCTCCTCCCTTCGAACAGACCATCCCCAGCCTGAACCCGGGCAGCCATCCGCGGCACGGTCGGCCCAGACACAGCCCTGATGGCTGCAGCCCGCTGCCTACCGCCTCCTTACCCCCGGAGTACCCGTGGATGCGGGAGAAGAAAGCCTCCAAGAGGAACCACCAGCTGCCGAACTCCACCACCGCCGCTACCGCCGCCACCGCCATCTCCAACGGACCCGTGTGCTTCTCTCCGAAAGGTGGGTGAATCCTAAAACGACAATGCCTTTCCTATCTGTTGCTGCATTTGGAGCCACCCGGGCCCCCTTCTATGGAAGACATTAAATGCGGATAAAAAATAAATAAATAAAACAACAACATATGCCTGAGTATAGCTTTATTCTGGTGGATGAATATGAGTGTGAAGCGTGGGGGGGAAAGTTTGGGTAAAGTTTGGTGATGTAAGATGATTTATTCCCCTCGGCGAGGCAGAGTTTTGATGTGTGACAGTAATGAAGAGTGATGGAGTGCCTTTGCCGAGGAGGGCAGCTGGAACATTCATTAGACTCCCACACCAGGATGGACCGCACTGTTTTAGAGAGCTTTACGCACATGAAGGCACCTATTTTATTCCCTAAAAGAATCAAGTGAGGAGTTTATATCAATACAGACATTATGTTTGGGTAAAATGGGCAAGTTAACAGCTCCAGCGGCCATTTTGCTTTATGTAAAACTCAAGAACGTTATATTTACTGGCAGCGGGGTTATGCAATTGTTGTGTCCTGCTTCTTTTTTTCTTTTTTTTTTCTTTCTTTTTTTTTAAGAATCCCCTTGCTGTTTATTTTTCAGGTTCGCCTGAGATCGTGGAGGGAGCGGGTGGAGGAGGGGGCTCCCGCAGGCTGAGGACAGCATACACCAACACGCAGCTGCTGGAGCTGGAGAAGGAGTTCCACTTCAACAAGTATCTGTGTCGACCGAGGCGGGTGGAGATCGCGGCCCTGCTGGATCTGACCGAGAGACAGGTCAAGGTGTGGTTCCAGAACCGGCGCATGAAGCACAAGCGCCAGACTCAGACCAAGGAGAACCACGGAGGGGGAGACGCGAAGGGCCCTGGAGCCGACGACGGCATCCACAGCGAGGAGGACGAGGAAGGGAGCGGCCTGCTGTACGAGCAGAGTGGGCCCCTCCTGGAGAGAGATACCTGCTCCTTTCAGAACAACACACAGCAGCAGCCGCAGCAGCAGCAGCTTCACAATAATGGAGAGGCGGCAAGCTATGACAAAAATCTGAAACATTTTCCCAACCCGTCACCCACTGTTCCGGGCTGTATGTCAACAATGGGCCCCGGATCGGCATCTGGGCCGGACAATGGCGACAGCCCCTCAGCCCTGGATGTTTCTTTGCACGACTTTCAGCCTTTCTCCTCGGATTCCTGCCTGCAGCTCTCGGACACAGCCTCGCCGAGCTTGTCGGAGTCTCTGGATAGCCCCGTGGACATTTCCGCGGACACTTTCTATTTTTTCTCGGAGTCTCTGACCACAATCGACTTGCAGCATCTGAACTATTAACTCAGAAACAAACAAACAAAAAAATACTTCACATTTCCCCTGTATGTGTTTGTGTGTGTGTGTATGAGAAAGAGAGAGAGAGAATGTGTGTATGAAATCAGGCTACGAAGGCATTAATTCATATTGTTTGTATGTGCGGCACATTTATTTTCTTGATATTTGACTTGACGATTAATACAAGGTAAGGACTGAACTAAATCACTGAAATAGCTCTGCTTATAGCTTAATTACCATAACAACTTGATCACTTGGAATAGAAATTACAAGTGTGTGGGTGTAAGAGGGAAAGTGTGTGTGTGTGTGTGTGTGTGTGTGTGTGTAAGAGAGAAAGTAATCTAACAGTGTTAGGTCAATACGGAACCGGGTCGTTTTTTATTTTTGTATAGTTTTCTTGGATATTTTTGTTAGAATACAAACTAACTTGCTACAATCCTTCTGCTTGTGTTTGACTCTTTTCTTTTTAACATTTCTAGAGTGAACTTTAATTTTTTTCGTTTCCTTTTTTCCTGTAAGAAACATTTAATCAGAAGCGAGAGTAAGAGGCCATGCAAATCAACAACAGGTTGGTAATGAATATAAATTATCGATTTGCATTCATTTCTCAACGGAACACTTGTTTGAAAACAAAGGATTTAGAAAAAAGTTTTTCATCATCAATGGATAAATAAATCAATTCCACCCTCTAATCATTTATAGTAAAACGCAGTTATTTAAATAATTTTCAAACCAGACCTAGAAAACAGATAACATATAAAACAAAATGAAGAATAAAACAACTACTAAAAATTGATGCAAAACAGGTTTATTTATTTATTTCAAAATACCTAAATTGAAAGACATTTATAAGATCAATATTTACATTTCTAACTTCCAAACTAATTTATTTTAGGGGGGGGGGGGGGTGGA